CCGACGAGGAACGCCATAATGCCACCAACGACGGTGATCCATAGGTACGGGTTCGCCATGGGTTGCCTCGTGTGATTTGATAATCGGTCGAAGTTGTGGTAGTAGTGAAGGCTTTCACAGGATGCGTCTTCTTCCAAAAAAAAAGTCGAGTGTTAAGCAGCGTACCAGAAGAAAGGAGTGAAAAAAAGGCGCCGTACATAATAAAGGGATGATGGCTGTTGTGTATTCATGGTTCACGGGTGTAAATATTCAAATGGTGTTAGCTATGAGGGTCTATGAGATGTGTTGTCTGGGTTCTCCGAGACACAGCATCATGGGTGAGACACCGTGGGGGAGAGCCTCGACACCTGGTGAAGCAGATTTTCTAACGCTGTAGCACGTCGCATTTCAGCAAGAATATTATATTCGATGTTGTGGCGAAGCTGTGTGTAGATAGCATCTCTTTGGTTTGTGCATTTCAACTCAAGGCTTCTCCTTTTCTGCCTCTCCTGCTGGAGTATGGTAAGGTACGTTTTTTGAAGGAGAGGATGTAGATTTGTAATGGACTGCATGCTTTTCTGCGCTTCTGCCTCTATGGTGTTGTAAGCCGCGACGTTTTCCTGGAAAATTCTTTTTCTTGCCGAAAATTCAGTATTAGCGAGGAGAACCAAGTCTTCGTCATGCATGAGAGTCATGATGGATTTCCATTTTCGTCGTTCGTCGTCGTGCACCGCCCTCCGTTTGCGAGATTCCTCCAGAAGAACGTCTTCTCGTTGTACTTGTGCCCGTTGCACAATAGCGGCAGCTTTCTCTGCGTCCCGTTGCTTCTGGCGTCTCGCCACCCTTTCTGCCTGCGTCTTTAGCAAATCGTCGCGGGACGCTTCGTAGCGCGTGGAGAAGCCGCGAGACTCCAGTTGTTGCAAAAGAAGATTAAGCAGCAAGTTTGGACGGCTGCTGGAGACCACCGTACTGGAGTTCCAGCATTCCTGCAGGCGCTGCCGCAGCGCCCTCTCCCTGCGGCGGGTGCCTGGTTCTTCATCGCGGTTGCGCAAACCGTTGACAAAGCGCAGACTGCAGACGTTATCGGTGCAGCCGCGGCGAAAGACAGGCCCCATATTTGACTTCGCCGCCCGTGAAGTCGGTGCAAGACATTCTTGTACGTCACTCTGTCGCATGGCTCGCCGCCACGCATGCCTCTCCCTCAGCACATCGTTGATGAACCTGTCGCCGAGCATTTCACCGAGCCCCCCACTCGCGGCGCACCACGCACTGTCTTTTTTGTCTATAAACGAGCCAGTGTGAGGCTAAACAATTTTTTTTTTTGAGAGCACAGTGGGAGATAGATAGAAGAAAAAAAGGGTGTAAATCAACAGGGCGGCTCCGCAACTAACATGTGCAACGTGTCATACCCACTTACTTCAGTGCACACCACCCATATATTTGGATGCATGAGTGATTTTGTTGTTGTTTTGTGTCGAGGAGATGGATGCGGCGTCTCTTCATTCCTGCTGTTATGGTTTTTATCCTCTTCTGTGGAGGAGGGGCATATTGCCATGGAAGGGAATCACGCCTCCCATCGCTTGTCCGCTCCCCATGTACGCGCTCTACGGCGTCACTCGATAGGCTCCTCGTCCCACGCGATGGGCGTCACCGTCACGGTGGGACGCGGCATCGCAACGAAGCGTCCCAGTAAGTCCCCCTGCGGGAGCTGCGGCGGGCACTGGTTGAGGTACGCGTCGAAATACGCCACCTGCGTGTAATAACCAACACGCAAGAACTCCTGTCCCCTGTACTGGAAGGATATGACAAGAATTGTGACACCCAGCACGTCCTGTGGAGGAACTAGCTCCACCTGCGGCGGGTCACACTCCATTGTGAATTCTGTCGCGCCCATCGCGAGTGGACCCACATCGAAGGTGTCGAGCACCTGGTCATGGTCCGGTGACGAAGCGCTGCCGACCCATACGAACGCCACAGAGATGGGTTCCTCCAGCGCCTGCAAGGCCTCAAGGCGCATGCGCCACCGCATCGGCTGCGTGTATGAAGTAGGGTTTTCCCCGAGGAGCTCTATCTCGAGCAGCTGCACAATTGGCTGCGTATTCATTGCACTCCCCAACTACAAGCTTTCCTTGTGGTGTCTATGTACACGGTTTACTCCGATTTTCTCGTATATGTCTGCGTGCTTGCGTGTGTGTGTGTGTGTGTGTGTGTGTGTATCTTTTTCTCTTACCCCCTATTCCTCCAGAGTGGGTCTCGCCCCACACGCACTAAATAACTACGCCTTACTGTGGCGTCACTGGGCTACTGAACAAGGCAAAAACACGTGAGGAGACATAAGGCAGCAAACCACGATGCCGATGCAGAGTCGATCCCCTAATAGGCGCGGGCGCAAGAAAAGCACCCCGGTAAAAAAAAAAGCCAGAAGCAAAAGAGAAAACACATAAGTCTCCTGTCCCATTCTACTCTCTCATGAGGTCGGAGAGACAGCAGTTGCCCTTTAAGAACACGACCCGCGTCACCACACCAGCCGAGTCCACACTGAACTTGAACAGACTGTCCCTCACACCTCCCGCCACCATGTCAAGCAGCATCCTCCACTCACTCTCGAGCCATAGCACTCTTGTCGAAATCGTGGGATGTGACGAGTCACCTGTGACGACACACGAAAGAGAGAGCAGCCACCACCAGCTTTCCTCCGGAGTACGCTCGAACTCTTCCAACATTTTCGTCCGCTGTAAAACGTAATCGACACACCCTTCATCTACCGCCAATGCGCAGACACTTCGAATCGCGACTCGCTGTTCCAGCATACTGCTCAGTACAACGGGGCTCCTAATGGTGGCACTCACGCGTTGTTGGGTGACGGCACCGAACTGGATGTCAATCTCAAAGTACGGAGAGCTTCGGACAACAGTGTCCTGGAATGTGGCAGACCCAGCTTTTTCGGCACCATGAGCAAGAGAGTCGGCGAGGAGCTCAATAGATTCATGCCTGCCCGACTCAAAGGATCGCACCACCCGCATCCTGATAATATTACCAAATATATGAGAACGCTCCCCGTGCTGATAGACCGCATGAGGTAATATCGCTCTCGGCTCGCTCTGCACCGAGGTCTTCTCTTCGATTATCCCTCCTCCCGGCTTTTGTTCACTCGAGAGTGGAATCACAACACCCTTGGCGATGGGCCCACGCTTCTCCCCACGCAAGTAGTACGGCACCCGTGACGGCCCACCAGGGGTAACCGCGACGGGGAGATCTCCACCACTGAGATCACTAGTGAAGCGGTGCACGCCAGTCCGTGCCTCATCACTCAGCTGGCGCAAACGCAGAAGCTCTGCAGCTCGGGCGGCAATGATCCCTGTCGCCTTCGCCTTTTCTCGGCTTCGCTCAAGCATTGATACGACGGCTCGAAGCGATGGGACTGCCGGTCTCTGCAAGACACGTGTGAACTCATTGGCCAAGATGTGCAAGCAGTCTGGTCCCAAGTCCTCATCAGCGCGGCGAATAAAGGAGGCGTTCTGCACAATGACGGGTGTGAAGGGTACTGTGGGCATAGCGAGCGTTATCTCCTTTACGGGGGTCCAGGACGGCACGTCAATAACACAGAACGATGGCTCCGATAAACTATCATTTTCACTCAACATAGCAACTACATACGTCGTCATAATGTCGTTAGTCGCAGATGCGAGAAAGAGACCCCCAATGTCCAACGGTGCACCGGCATGTGTCGAAGGGTCGACGTCAGAGACACTGCGCTGCGGCAGTCGCGCGAAACCGTTTGGTGGTGACAGCTGCTGGTAGTCGAGACGCCCACGAGTGTAGACTACCTTGGCGCTCTGGAACGGGTGAGACGGCCGGCTACGCGACGGCGTAACGGCGAAGATGATAACCGTTGAGCCTTCCGCAGGGAAATCGCACTCGCACTCTTCAAGTGATTCGGGCAAGCATCCCATGCCACACTCCTCCCACAACTGCACGATCACACAGTCTTTCTTTTCACATGTCAACACAAGTGAAGACACCCGGAGGAGTCTCCGATTGCCTGTTGTATCATCCAGCGCCGGAGCCTCGTGTGCGGCGCGCTCAAGAGACTTAAGCTGGGCAAGAAGGTTGCGCACCACCTTGCCGCCAGCATTTGAAGTACCTCTGTTGCTGACAGTCTGCTCAATAAAAAATGCGGGAAGGACACGTTCCACCGTCCCATAGAGTGAGGGAACAAGTCCCCCCAGTGGGTGAATAGCAGCAGCCGGCACAAGCAGTGGTTTAGTCTGATACAAGCCGAGTGCCGAAGCCGGGTCTGCAGGACGCGTACAATTGTAGTTGATAGACAACACAATGTTATCCCTGCACTCCAGGGGAGAGCAAAAATTCTTCAGGAGCATCTTTGCGCCGCACACCAGAAGCTTATGTCCGCAGCGAAGAATGTTCTCACGCACCAAATTCGTCAGTGGGACGTCCAACGCGACCTTCACCTCATAGCATCCATCGGAGATCACACCCACGCTCGTATGTGGTGCGATGCGTTCCTCAAGGGAGAGAGAAACAACGCTCACAACCATCAGCGACGACGCGGGCACATCTCCTTCTGTGACAACGCGAAGACTGGGACGCTCACCCTCTACAAACTCCCGGTTGTACTTGTAGCACAGATACAGAAGAGTGTGCGTCACGGAGAAAACCGACAGGGACGGATTGCAACGAAGCGACAAGCCACGCAACTTCAACAGAGTTGACTTCACCATCTGCCGGCACCACTCGTCCGTGGAATCCGTCCTTCTGGCGCCAAGAGTGAGGAGCGCACCATGAAAGCGTAGGAGCGGCACTGTGTCGTCCTCCACAGAGAGACCTAGTATTTGCAAGAGTTCGGGCGAGCAGCCCAGCCGTTTAAACGCGAAAGTGCCGTGTATAATTGCTTCGATGGAGGGAAGCACCGACATCGCCAGTGACGAATAGACAAAGATATCAAACAAAAGGGACTTCGGTCCTCTTCTAAAGGACTCCTCCTGCGGAGAAGTCGCAATGGTCTGTGGTACCGTCCGTATCTGTGGCGTCCGCGCAAACGGCTGAACAAACATGCGGCGCCGCGGCGCAAGCAGCGGAGGCACTGCAGCCCCAGAGGGGGACTCGGCACCTGCAATAGAACCTGAAACCCCTGCGCCGCACTCACTGCTACTAGAGGAGCTAAGTGACAACACGGCATCCAGCCTCTCCCTGGCAGCGCGCAGCGATGACTCGGACACAACAACAGGCCGTCCAGCGGCAGTGGAGAAGAGCGTCGGCACAGCTTCCTTTTCGTGATCCGTGGACCGCCTATCATGTGTTGATCGCCGCCCCTGCGAAGGTGTGGCAGATGCGTCGCATTCGCGCTTGCGAATGTTGTGGCGGCACATACCACAGCGGATGCGGCCCGGTGCGTTGATGAAAGTGCAATGTGCGCACGCGTTCATCTCCGTCTCATCCATGGGTGGTGGGGCTTCAGTCGCAACAAAGTATGATGCAAAAGAGCGGAGAGTCAAGAGAGTATCACCGTCACAAAGATACGCGCACACAAAGAACAATGCGGCCGACAACCACAGAAGGAATCGACTGCCACACCACCTCATCACCTACAGCAGCAACCGCGGACAAACAAACAGGGAGCAGCTGTTGATTCATTTAAGAAGAACGTAATCATCTGGGTCGAAAAAACTCATGTCCTTCATCATGTCGAGGATCGCGTTGACATAGTCCCAGAGAGGCTTTTTATACGCCGCTGGCATCGCACATCCACCAAGTTTGTCGTAGTGCGCTAGGATAGACGGCAACGCAACGAAGAAGCGCAGAAGGTACTCAACTGGCAGTACTGCCGCGCACTTATAAGAAAACGGCACAGCAGTTGAAGCACCGGTTGTTGGAGACGTCCTGCCTTCACTATCGGCGCGACGGCGCTTCGGGCCGTGGCGCCCCTCAAGCCGCTTCTCACGCTGCTGCGCCGCAGCATTAATGAGGCGCCGCTCCTTCGTCAAGAGAAATGATGAGGTGCAGCATTGCTCAATGGTGTCGAGGACAAGATTCTGACAGCAGTCAATGACAGAGTCGGAGGCCTTGCACCGCTGCCGCACCCGCTGACGCGCGTCCTGCAAAAACGTCAAGACGCTGCGCTGCGATGTCATTGTTGCCAGCGGCGGTGTGCGCGGGACCTCTGGGTGCTCGAGCTGCTCCATCTGGCACTGCACAACGAGCAGCAGCTGCGGCGGCCATTCAATGCCCTCCATCACTACAGTTGTGAGTGATTGTGTGTGTGCGCTCTACTACGCGGGGTACAGAGATATGTGTTCAACAAATTAAGAAACAAATATTAGTCCTAGACAGGAAGGTCATGCCGCACGCAGTCACAGAACTTAAAATCCAACAATAAGGAGGAGGATTCATAGGAGCGATGCAACTCGTCCACAAATTTCCGACAGCGCTTCTATCAGCTGCTGGCACCGCTCCCACTCTACAGCCATATGTGCCTCTCTTTCTTGCATTGCTACAGCGGCACGCCGGGTCTTTTCGCGCCACTCTTCAGCCGAAGCCGCCGCCGCCGCAAAGTGGCCACGTCGCGCCAAATCCGCCTCACGCTGAGTGAGCTCCCGTGTGCGCTGCTCAACAGCCGCACGGACTTCGGCGAGGGCCTCCTGTGACTCAACAAGACGCTGGCACTCCTGCTGCAGTGTAGCCTCGCGCTGCGTCACACTGCGCTCGCGCCCGCTAATCTCCGCGTCCTTCTGCCGCAGTTGTGCAGCGTGCTTCTCTAGACGCACAACGAGTTCTTCCCACTCCTTGAGCATCTCTGCAGCCGTGATGCCGCTGTTGCGCACTGGAACACTCTTCAGCGCTGCCTCAACACGATTCTGCCAGTCCTCGAGTGCCGGTTGCATTGAGATTGCCACCGCCCGCTCAAGGAGGTGTGCCTTCGCCGTTAATTCAGCTTCGTGGCGTTGGAGCAGCAACTCCGTCCGCTCGATTCCCGCCACGCGCAGGCGGTACCCCGCCCCCGCATCCATCGTTGTGCCTTGGAGTGTTTCTCCACTCCACAGAGCCACACAAAAGATAATCTAACTATGCCTCTTTAAAATTATTTTTGATCTATCGATATGTATTTATCGGAACGTGCTTTACTGTCCCTCTCGGTGTATCTATGTGTGTCGACGTATGTGCGTGCCTGAGAGAGAATGAGCGACGGCAGCACCGCAGAGCGACACTGAAGAAGATTTTTTTTGTTTAAATAAGAAAAGAAAATGAAAGCCGCAGCACAACCAGTGAAATACATCACGCACTCCTTGGCATTGAAGGAGTACAACTAAAGGCGAGACGTGTGCACACATGCTGATGGGCCCATGGGCTCAACACAAAGAGAAACATTTCTCTTCATTTCTTGGTATTCGTTTTCTTTCCTTCCTCCCCTCTGTTCCATCAGCGGATAACGCATTCGGACTGCTACGCCGCTCTATGCAGCTGCCCTGCATGCCACGATGTCACATGGGACGTGTGTGGCTGCTATGAGCCAGTAGCCTTGCAGCTCCACAGAGAAGAGAAGGGCATAATCGTACGCGTAATTCTGCAGCGGATTCTCCTTCACATGGGCTGTCTTTGACTTGAGCTGGGAGCTTAGGTTGAGACACTGAATGGCTTCGGCGAGATTTTCCTTCCCAAGACCCACCACCGGCGTGATATTGAACTTCATTTCGCGTGGGGTTACTTGATACACAACAGTGCACCACGAAATGTCCCAGGTGCGGTTTCGCATCTCCTCCTCACGCCTCAGTGCTCGTGATGCGGGGATGATGGAGGACTCGTCCCCGTTGGCATCGTTCTGAGAATGGTTTGACAAGGCTGCAACACGCTTAAGCCAGGATGTCTTCTCCGACGCAATGCCAGGCGAAGAAACTTGGGTGTTGTTGTTGTTGGTTGTCGTGGTGGTGGTGGTGGTGGCAGTAACAGCGGCACCGCCGCTGTTGTTGTTGCTTCCTGGTGGCAGAAGCATTTGCGAGAGCAGAGCGGCGCTGTTTTTATAATCTCTGGCGTAGCGCCGGAACATCACCCGCTTGTCCCCCTGACCAACGTTGTCACTCACAAGGATGACATTCTGCACCACGCAGAAGTCAGCGGGCCAGTGAATCGCCTTGCTGTTCAGCGCCTCCACCGCATCTGCGACGGATGAGAAGTGGGCCGAGATATCAAACGCGGCCTCAGAGCCATTCAGCTTCTCGTTATTTTTCATCGTATACGCGTGCGACGCCCACCAGCGTGGCGCACCTTGCAGTTGTTGTTGCTGCTGCTGCTGCTGCTGCTGCTGTAGGAGGCGCTCAATGATGACGGAGCCGCTGCTCTTCGCAGCCGCGCCACCCCTGCCCGCTGTCTCGGCGCTGAGAATCGCAGGGTCCGTCATTATCACCGGCGTCGCTGTCGACGCGGGGGAGCCACGCATGTTGGCGCTCTTTGCACTGCGCGGCTGTGGGATCGCGATGGTCGTCGCGCTGCGCGGTCCCATCGTGGCGGTCGTGACGGGCGGTATGCCTTTGCCCGCAGCCTCGTGCGTAAAATGCGTCACGGCGAACTTGGACGACTTCAGCCACACTGTCCACTCCTGTGATGTGGCACCGCTGTTGCTGTTGCTGTTGTTGTTGTTGCCGTTGTTGTGCTTCTCACCTACCTCCTCAGCGGCGTCGACGAAACCCTTCGCCGCGAAGGCTGCGCTCAGTTCCGCAACCTTGCCAGCAGCGAGCAGGTTGGAGCACAGCACCACCAGCTCCGCAGCACCCAGTAGCGGCGCGGCGCTCGTGTANGCGGCAACGCGCTGCGACGCAGTTGCAGCAGGATCGACGCAGAGCGCGGCAGCAGTCAGCGATGCGCCGGCGTACGCGCGCACCTGAAGCGTCATGAAAAGACGCACAACGCCACCGGTGCCTTCCAGCTCCTTCGTTACATTCTCCACGGACTCGCAGTTCACACCGATGCGAATAAGCACGACGGTTCCCTTGTCCGCCCCCTCACGCGGCTCATATCGCACGAGGTCCGTGATACCGTACAGTTTTCGCACGTGTGGTGACTGCATCATCTGCTGCCGAGCCGCTGGCGTGGCGTTGTGCACAAAGACAAAGGAGGGCGGCGAGGCAGTAATCACGTCGTTGAAGCTCTCCATATCCAGGATCGGCGACGGCCCGCTGCTCAGGTCGATAATGCTCTTCGAAATGGACTTTGCCGTTGCCGCAGCCGCAGCCGCTGCCGCTGTGGACGACGAGGTACGCTTCTCCGTCCACGACGACCCCTCCTCGAAGTATTTCACCTTAACAGGGATCATGACTCTCGCCCAACACACTCACACACTCTCGCAATCACTCTCCGCCCGACCTACAGTTGCTGCAGGAAAGGGAGGAAAAATGGAATGGTGGGAAGAGCGGAGCAGCGAAACACAACACGCAGAGCACACATCCATGCATGCACACAGAGAGCGATGCAGCCCTTGTGTTACCCGTTTTAGCATGGCCGCAGCGTCAAAGAGAGGGGCGAACACGCAATACAAAATAAGACACACTAAACAGAAAGCAATCCCTGCATCAGATCAGGCACGCAAAACTATACACCACCACTCCGCCGCCTCTCCACGTGGCGCAGAGAAACACAAATACAACAACAAAAAAAAATTCTTATTGCCACGCTGCCGTCATGGCATGCAACAGTCAGAACACAGGTTGGCGCCACGCATCGTTGTTTTTTTTTTTTTTT